CTAACATCTAGGGCTGTGCTTGATACTGGTATGCCAATGCACGTCATTGGCGTTACAGGCTTTAATTCCATTGCAATACACCAATACAATCATGATCTATTACTCCGTACAGAGTACAACAAATTCTAAGGAAAACTCTAGTGCACGGTCGATCTGTTGCCCAAATAGGAAATGTGCCTGCCCTCTCTGTATGCGCCTTGCATGCAATCCCTCTTGTCCTAGACTCCTTATTATACTGTTTCACTGGAAGTTCTATAGTCTTAAGTCCTTCAACGAGTAGCTACAAGTATAATAGAAAGGTAGAAAGGCCTTCATTCCTGTTCCTATCTAGTATTCCTACCATTACTCCTATCATCACTTTCGTTGACCCTTTCTGAGAATCTCTCACACACTCCCTTCTTTTTCAAGTGTTTCAAGTGTTTCAAGTGTTTCATAGTTCTTTTGAGCTTTGAGCCTGAGATCAATAATAGATCAAACACATTCTTTGTGGCTGAAAATAAACCTGAGTACCCTGACGTTACACGGGGGATCATTCGCTTGACCGTTTGCGGCCCCAATTTTCTTTTTATCGCCGCATTCCCCCTCCAACCTCTTCTCCCTACACACTCGCTGCCAAAACATTCATACCACCAACTTGCTGTTGCATCCCCCGGAAAAGGTCGAAATCGAAGCGCATTTCAACGACAAGGTCATCCATTCATTTTCGCATCCCCAACCCCCTCGTCGCGCATCGCAACCGCCTCCGGCGCAATCGCAGTCTACCCACAAATCGCGCGACCGCGCAACAACTCGTTGACTCTCTCTCTTTGGAATCATTCATCTTCAAACCAACTTCAAACCAGTCAAATCGCGCATTAAATTTATATCTACAATCATGCTTCTCCCATCTGCCCTCCCATGCGAAGTGCGCCGGTCGTCTCGCTTCACTCCCAGTCGCCTCTTCTCAACTCCTCCCCCATCCGACACAGGATTTGCATCGGGCAACGGTCTCCTCGGCACCTGTCGCGCACTACAATCTCTACTCAACAGATCGCCCACGCCTTCATCGCGATCAGTAAAAGCCCAACGCCTCCAGAGCCCCCTCCCCCTCAACACAGCCCGTCGCTCGTCGCGACTGCACAAGGTCGTCCGACCCGTCTCTCCCAGACAAACACCACCGCCCAGAACCGCCGCTCTCACACCCCCTCCTCCTCCATCTGCACCCTCCCGCGGCGCAAACAAGCGTCGCCGCGACATCTTCGATGACGATGAGAGCGACGCGGAGATGAGCCGTCCGCGTAACCGCTTCGCGACTCCCAAACGCCGCCGTCACGTTCCTTATGATATGCCTATCGGGCTTTCCTCAACAGACTTTTACTCCCTACACTCTCCTCCTGTCACCCAATCTCCTCCTTCTCCTCCTCGTCGCCAGATGGACTATGACATCTCAGCTGGCTCACCCGTCGACCCAGACGCGCCTCTGCCCTCCATCGAGGTGACAGAAGAGCGTGCTCCTTCGGCTCCACAGGACTGGACCGTCGAAGAAGATCAACACCTTCTCGAGCTGGTCCTCGAGAAATTCCGCCTCTCCCAACAAGAATGGGATGAGTGTGCGCGCCAAATGGGTCGCAGCCATGTTGGACCCAGGTGGCAGTCCCTCATTGGTGAGGGTCGTGTTGGCCTGCGCCCGCGTCGGCGTTGAATATTGCTTATGGCAATTATTACCATCTGTTTATTAATGTATTATATGATCTCTGTACCACCCTGTGATTGGACTGACCTTATTCCCATTGGCCTTACTTGGCTTGATTTCTTTGTCAAAACACCCCTGTATTATCATACCTTGTATTTGTGAGACTTGTTTATTTTCTTTCCAGTTTATTGTCTATTGACAGCACAAAATGCTTCTTTTTTGTCTGCTTTGTCCGGTGTTGTGAGTTCCGTTCTACTCGGGCTATGTGAATATGCTTCTGTTTCTTGCTCATATACTGTTCTTTATGTGTGACTTACTATTCACATCTGCTGTCTTTTGTTTGGGAATTGTACTACTATCTACTACTACCAACTTGACTTATATTTTTGACTATCTTACTCCAACAACTATAAATCTCGTAATAAATGTAAATTTTGACTATTGCTCAATACATGCTAGTTACCATCGTCTCATCGTGTCTATGCTGTTTTTGACTATCTAGCTCTGTTGGTTGAGCCAGACGTTTACCGGACCCTGTAAGGCACAGGATGGATATACCTAGAATTAAACATGATATCATACAACTCCAGCCCTGTGTCATGGTACTAGATCTCCGTGAGGGTTAACCTCAAACTCACCTACAAGCATATGGTGTAAGGTACGGGGAAATGAAGAATTGGATACTTGTGAAAAATCCAGTATGTATATGGCTCCATCCAACGCCAGACACCAATTGTGCTGCGCAAAGTAAAAATAACATGAAACCGGACTCAAGTCCATTGATATCAACACTGCTCGTTGGAATTCACTCCCACACGAACCAAAATCACCTCGAAATTTCGAAAATGATCAGAATCTAAACGAAGCAAATGAGTCAGTGACAAAAATAACAATTAGTGGAAAGATAAAACACATACCGAATCTCATAGCTTCCTGCGCGGGTCATATAGCGCACCCACTTGACAGAGCTGTAGTTATTCTTCTCAAAGACCTTCAGATAGCGCACCAGCAGACCAGAAGAGGTAAACATAAGCAAACTAAACGAAAGACTCAACGGCGGACGACTCCAGGCCTTCTGATGCGTCATAGTCGTAAGCGTTGCCTCGGCATTGAGCACATACTCCGACTGTCCAGAGAAGCGCGCAATCTTCCAAACAATATTGTTCTGCTCGGGCTCATACTTAGCGCGGCCCTGGCTCGTGCGCTCCGTAGTCTTGGCAGTATTAAGCGGCGTGGGGATCCGAATAACAACGTTCGTAGCGAAGAGCTTGGAGCTGTAATTCGCCTTGATAGCAACGCTGTATTCGACCTTTGTGGTACCGATCTCGCGCACAATCGGGTGCACCTTGAAGGGCAAGTTGACGTTCTCGGTTGCACGGTAGCGCATCAGCTCGAACTCGCCGTCCGGCGGCACGAAGGATATGATACGGTCTGCGTCAAACCGGCCCAGCTTCACGCACTGGTGGAACTGGCAGTCTTCCAGCGTGACGGAGCCTGCCGCGGCGCGCGTGGTCTTTGATGTGCCGAGTCCGTTGCCTCCGCCCGGGTTGTTCATGTTGCTGGAGGTTTCACCGGTGTCTAGGAGGAGACGGTCATTCAGGCCGAACTTGCATTCCGGCGTGCCGGTTAAGTAGGCGCGCATGACGATCTGGCCGTTGACGTCGGCGCGGAGGACGGTGCCTGTTGCGGACATCAGAAGGTTCACGTCTTCGATTACGTCGACGAAGGCTTCGTTTTTGCGGTATTTTATGTCGGAGCGGCGCCAGGAGATAGCGCCTGTTGCTTGTTGGGTGATTCGGGAGGAGTCTGTTGGGGAGTTGGCGATAGCGGATTTAACGCCTTCGGTTGTGATGTACATTTTCAGGGTATCTGGATCGGTGTTCTGGGGATATCCAAAGTCGAGGATTTCTGTATAATTGTTAGGGTCTACTTCAGGGCCATTGGGCCTTTTCCACGTCTTACCATCGAGTAGTTCGTAAATCAGGACGAAATTGTTCTTCACGGCCTCCTCGTCAAACTTGCCGAAATAGCTCTTGCCCAACATGATCAGCCGGTAGAGGAACTCGAAAACAAGAGCGGCATTGGCATTGCTCTTAGTCACAGCTACCAAATAGATGTTCTCGTGCTTGACATGGCTAAAGGTCGTCGAGCCCAAGGTCAGGATCGGCGAGCGCACCTGGGGATTGGAGATGACTTGAATGCGGAAGATGTCGGCTAGACGCGGACGACAATCGCTGCGGAAGGCGCGAAAAATGAGGTTTTCGCCCTTCTGATTGAATACGAGGACCCCCGAGAGCATATTGTTGTGTTGAAGTCGAGTTGCTCTTGGGGATGGGAGTTGGAGAGCTGCGGAAACAGGGGTGGGGGTGGATCGACACCGCCTGAGGTATAAAAGGAGGTGCCACTTAAACTACTTCTCCAATGGATAAACTATTAGAGGGTTGTATCACATGTGGCTATACATTCGAGAAGCGAAAATGGTGACATTATTCTAGCTATCTTACACCTTTCTACAGTGCGGATGATCTAAACGAGTTGTTTGGTCGGTTCTGATGTGATCTTGAAAGATGTCGGACGTTGAAGTCAACAGACTAAACCACCTGGTAATCTATACCGATATCCTAGTTCTAAGGCTCTGCGTGACTATAGCGATCACGATGGGCAATAATTCTTGATGATACTATCTTAATCTAATGACAAAATTCTTCAGAAGGCAAAGGAACAAGTGTAACATACTGGCGAAGCTGATATAAAGCCCATTGTAATAAACCATTAGACTCTCCAATGTATGAGCTTGGCGGAAACTAGAAAGTACCTTAGAAGGCTTCTCATGCAAAGGAAACATTGACTTGCATGAAAGCTCAATGTACAACATACATCATATAGGCCATGACTGTTCTACTTCTATTGAACATCAACGTGGAGTAAACATTAAAGCGGAGAGAAAGCAAATCCGCAATATTATTCTTTTTAAAATGCTAGCAAGTCTAAAGGTGAGCATGCAGTATGCCAGATATGAACAAAGAGGCATGGTCAAGATGACAATAAGAAAATCAGGGCAAAGTAGCCCCTAGGGGAATCAAAAGGGATATGTAGAAGAAGCTGACAGAAGAGATATAAAAAGAAAGGTATCAGATCACAGATTAGAAAAAAAAAAGCCTCGGACTCAAAAGGCGAAGGCATGTAAGGAAATATTCGGTGTCGGAAAAAACAGCCGCGGGATGGATATCATGCAGAGGTCCCAGGAAGGGAACAAATCACAAAGATGTACAATCAGAAAGCAAAAGGGAAAACGGCGCACTCCAGCCCGACAAAAAAAAAACACCCATCAAGACCCAGCCCCAATACCAGTACTCGGCCTAGTATTAGAAGCCGAAGGTGCCTCACTGGGTACAATGCCAACCTTGGGATCGGGAATCTGGATATCAAGCGACATATACGCCGTCCGTCTCAAGCTCCAGATATGAACACCATCCTTGGCGCCGACCTCACGGTTCCAAGTCTCCAACCAAGCCTCGACATGCTGCAGCTGGCTTTTCGTCGCGGGGGCATTGAGATCATCCCATACCCAACCAGTCAACAAACCAATCGCACCGTCGAACCAATTTCGAAAACTATACGGATCAAACGCCTTGACAATCCCATCATTGACGGTAGAAATCACCCTGCGAAACTCCTGCTCCGACAACAACGGATCAAGAATCTCAGGATACAGATTCGAAAACGTCGGCGCTAAATCACCCTTAATCATCCAATCGCGCCGAATCCGAATCACACGCGTCGCCATATGCTCCCTCGACCCGATAGGCACATGGGGATTAACATGCGGGAAACAAGGGTGAGCCGGGCCCCAAGCGAGCTCCTCGGCGACATCAGCGTGCGGCTGACCCGTATGCGAAGGAATAGAAGCGATCTGGGCCTGGGAGCGGAGGGAAGTTTGCGACTGAGCGTGGCGGGGACGGTCATTCTGACGAGTTCCGTTCTGAGTGAGGTGAACAGCTTCGGGAGGGCGCAGGTTTTCAGTTTCGCGCGCTGCGCTGCCCGCAAACGCGGCGGTCATTTCTGTAAATTCTTCGCTGCGACGGTGTCGTCTAGGCAGGGCAATGCTAGTGCGGCCACTTTCTGTTTCCCCCTGGCTGCGCTCGACGAGTAAGCTACTCGGGGACGGGGTTAGGCGGCTGCGGCGTCGCTCTGGGACGCTGAGGAGGGGGTGGGCGTCGCGTGAGTGGCCGAAGCCGAGGGGGAGACTTTCGTCTGATTGGTGGGCGCGGACGGTTATTGGGGTTATCCGTGGGACGTGGTTGACTGGGTTTGCGAGTCGGACTGCTGGCGGGCGGAGGAGCGACGGCGGGCCTGAGATCGGGACGCACTGTCGCCGCTGGGCGCGAACGAACGACGGAGTTGACTCCACGGGGGCGCGATTAACTGGAGGCCGGGTTAGGAATTGTTGGCCGCGTGGATAACAGTATGCTTCTTCCTCCCTCGATAGAGGTCTGGGGGCATTTAAGGACGCCGTTTTGAGGGGAGAAAGGAGAGGGGGAGAGATTGGAGTGGAGATGGAGACCGGCCCAGAAAAAAGTGCCCTATGTGGACGTGCAACAAATGAGTGTGAGAATAAAATTAAAAAACAATTAGGGGAAAAGAAAGGAGGTTTGAATTTGCAGGTCAAATTTGAGGGCGAAATCCTTATAAATCCGTATAGAAGATGCTTGCTTGGCGTATATGATCTCGATTTTGGCTAAATATTGGACAGAAATAAGAAATTGGACATGAAAAAAAGATCCTACATCTTATATCAAAGTGACAGAGACTCGAAAGGGATACACATCCAATATAATTAGTCTAAAATATAAGATATAAAACATATGCGACTCGTTTGCCCCCAGTTTCACTGTGATTAATCCACCCTCCCTTGTTTCATCTCGGCCCTTTATTGGGTATAGTATGCACACTCTAGCAAACGCTAATCGAGGTACTATTGCATTATCATCAATGACGAACTGCATTTCAATTCAGGCCGAGTCTCGGTAGTGTTCGGTAAGGCCGCCTTACTTGCTGCCCAGGCACGAATTGGGGCAAAAATATACATTATCAAATAAAGATTATAGACATCCATGCAATAAATACTTCATAAGTCGTAGGAAAGACACATTTGCCATGGCGTGTAATAACAGCACCTAATAAAGAAAGAAAAAAAAAACACACAAATCAAAGGGTATCGAGTAAAATGAATGAACCATGAGTCTGGGCACTACAGCTTTCGATTCGCCGAGGCCTGCATACGCCGCATTGCCTGGCGATGTAGATCCGTCATGTTGCCACGCTGCATGCCGTCTGCAATGGCATCGCCCAGCTGAGCAGACGACGCCTCGCGCATCTTCTGCACAGAGTTCCATGTAGTGCGCCGATCAGCGGGGCTGGTTGGGCTGAGGGGCCGGGACTGAATGGCCAAAGGATCTTGCTTTTGGGTGATTTCTTCGCGGACCGATTGTCGCCACGCTGCCATTCTTGAAGCAGACCGGTTCAGCTCACCGGCGGGAGCTGGTAGGGTATACATAGGGAATTGGGTAGCCTCGAGGTTGTCAGGGCTTACTGCAGATGGGGACTGCACTGTCTGGCGCTGTAGTAGGGCGCGCCGCTTGGAAAGTGGGATATCGTCCTCGTTGGGCTGTGCTTGTTCGTGTTCTACCTCTCTTTCCTCTGGGATGGAGAGCGGTGGTGATATTGGCGAGACGAGGGGCGCCATTTCAGGTAAGGACTGGCGGGATAGGTTGCGTGTAGCCCAGGGATCGAAGCGGTTGGATGTTGAGGACATGCGATTTCGGACCATATCCTCGCGGACTGCGAGGAGGGGAAGTGGTCCATTCCAGCGTGATGATGACTCTGTTTCTTTGGGGTTGGGAGTAGTGATTGTCAACAGGGGAGTCGATGTGCTGCGCATCGAAGTCAATCCCGGTTCCTGAGTTGGAAAAGGACCAGAAGCTGATCGGAGCTTGTTGATTGAAGCTGACGAGTCGTTCCGGGTCAAAGTTGGATTCGCTTTGGTAAGACCTTGTGCGCCGATCCGTGTCTTGGATCGGGGAATATCCGGCGAGGGTACCGATGAGATGTAGGCAGATTGTTGATTGTCCGTATCATCAAATTCGGGTCGGTTCACAATTGGTGGCGGTTGTGCGGTAAGAGGCGTCTGGAGAAGACCGCCTACATCAACATATGCTGCAGGCTCGTGAGCTTCCTCTGAGTCTTCTGCCTCGGGTTCAGGCTCAAATTCAATTGGCTCCATCTCAGGGGTGTCGGCATCTGCAAGATGCTTGGCCCATTCATTCGTGCGGTACGAATGAATCACTCGTGATGTTTGCTCGGGGATGCATTTGACGTTTGATGCATCCAGTTTCTTGAGCACTTTGGTCTTCGGCTCAACCTTGGGCTCGGGCAAAGAAACAACCTTCGGCTCAGGAATGGACTCGGCATTGATGGTGTTAGCAGTAGAAGGCCGATCTTCGTTGGTCTTCTCTGCCTTCTCACCTTCTATCTCGTTCATCGGTGATGCCTCCAATGTAGTTTGGGGCTGGACTTCCTGGGTTTTCCTTGAAGCATCTGGAATGTCTGCTTCAACATCTGTTGCGGGAGTTTCCGGCGATTGGGGCTTCTCCGACACCTCGGAGGTGCCAGAGTTGCCCAAAGGACTGTCGGCAACAACAGTTCTCTCGACGGGAGACACCTGCTGAGCAGTCTTGCTGACAGTGGCTTCTCCGGTGATCACTTTCTCGGCTTCTTTGTGGGCCGTGTCTGTATCGACACGGAGTCCAGCATCTTGGACAGCTTGTGAACCCACATTTGAGTTGATCTCCACATCTGTGGAGTCCTTCTCTGGAGCTAGCTCAGCGTTGATTTCTCGCGGCGCCGTCTCAACCTGATCGTGAACATCCGTAACACTCGGGCAACCGACACTCATTTCATGGATATCATCCACAACTCCCAGTACAGAAGAACTGGCATCATCATGAGCCACCAGATTCTCCTGAGACTGTGAAGCATTCATCACACCGTTGCTGTTTCGCCAGGAGAGCCGGTTCAACATTTCTCTGCCAGAGAACCGTTTCGAGCGCGGCGTGCCCACCTCCGAGCCAATGTCAGCACCGTTCTCGGAGGCGTCATCATTGACCTCGCCAAGAACATGAGTAATAACAGGTGTAGTAGGTCTCGACGTCTTTCCTTCAGGTTGAACCTCCTTCTCGGCGCTCTTTTCCTGATTTGCTGGCTCGCCCTGTTGGGATGAATCCTCCTCTGGCACAGCCTCAAGTTCGCGAGTATCGTTTCCACCCTGACGGGTCTTCTCGCCGTCAGATGCACTACCAGAAGCGTCCGGGCTCGGCATTTCCTTGAGCTCGATCTCACCCTCCTTGTCGTTGTCAGAGGACTCCTCGAACCCATCTGATCCCCGTCGGGAGTCACCGACAGCAGTCTCCGAAACCGAAACAGCTTTGCTATCCGCGGCCTTTCCGTTTCCGTAAATGAGTTCCCATTCAGCGCGCTCTTGGATATTTTTTTCCTCGAGGCGGCGACCAACTTCAGCATCTTCTTCTTCGATCTTTCGAGTGTGTTCCAAACGGGAAGCTTCTTCCTTAGCTCTGCGCTCCTTGATGAGATTCCAAAGTCTGACCTGGGAGATTACTCCCAGAACAGCAATGATAATAGTCGCGGCGAGCTCAACGCGAATACCACGTGTCACAGGGTAGGTGTCCGTTCGGAGAGGGAAGACGTTTTCGTTCAACCCTAGATCCGTCAGCAACTATGAACAGGTTGAAAACAAGATACAAAATTTTAGACTTACCCCAGATATATAACCAGAACTCTTTCAGCCCAGCTCTGCTGTAGCAATCGATTCCAAGGACCAAGGCGGTTGCACCGGCAAACGACGTGCATCCGATCAGCCCGTATGACCGTGTATAGTGGCTGAATGATAGGGAGTAGAATCCCACGGCAAAGGCAATGATCATACCGGCCTTGGGACCACTGTCGGTTAGGAGGCCGCCGGATTTCAAGGCAAGGAACCACATGCTCAGACAGAAACCGCCCAGAAGACAGCCCAATCCCTCGCATATCTCTCTAAAAACGAGCGATAGACCACCGAAGATAGCGCCGGTGAAGAAGACGGCGACGAGATAGCCACCCTGCACAGCGTTGCTTACCGGTGGGCTCATTACATAGATAATGAGGACCTGTATAGAGGTTGGTTAGTTTTGTTGTTTGCTATTTTTCCTGTATATAACTTACGGTAATTCCCAATGCGCTAAGGAATCCGGTTGAGAGAAGGATTTGGACCCTTTTCCTTGTTAGCCAAATGTTATTATCATCAAATAATTAGAGGTTTAATACCATTGTTGGCGGACACCAATGAAAGTCAGGACAGCCCCGAGAGCAATTAGTATAAATCCCCCAACACCCCATGCCGGCGTGATTGTCGGTTTGATTGGCAAGCCACCGGTGTAGGTTGGTCTAGTGGAGTCTGCCGCTTGTTGCTGAGAAGATGCAGTTGTTCCATCAAGTGAGGGCACAGTCGAGGTAGCGAAAGCGGCAGAGGTAGTCGTCGTAGCATTGGTTGTGGCATGCGTTGTAGCGGCTGAGCTAGTAGTCGAGGTAGTATCGCCTGTCGTTGTAGCTTCGGTAGCGGTTGATGCATCGGTTACTGTTTTTGATGCATCAGTTTGAGTTGCCGTTGTAGCCTCGCTGGCAGTATTCTCTGTTGTCGGAGAATCCGTTTCCTTTTGCTGTCTAGCCTCGAGGACTTCCACATCGCGTCGTCCTAAGCCTGAAGCTGGTGCGGCCAATATCCCCAGTAGGAACAGGGACACTATTAAGGTGAATAGCCAACTCCACCGCATCTTGACGTGATTTCTTGTGTGAAATACAATTGATTCTCCGTAGAGAAACGTCTTTGGTTATTGTAAGACCAGCACCTTTCACATATCCCGCGACGTTAGTCCCACGGCTCGCGCGTGAAATCAATATAGACCTTAGGGGAACACCGAAGGTACACGAATATTAATAATTAACAATAAAAAATAAATTAATTGACGTGGCGTGAGGGACACATTGTGTAAGAAAAGAAGAAAAGAAGAAAAGTACAACGAAGACCAGCCCTAAACCTCCCTACATATAAACGAAAACAGGCAATGATAAGTGCGAGGACTCATTTCACATGAATTTGAGTTTTGACTTACAGGAAAAAGAACCCAGCATGAATCCTACGAGGAATATAAGAGGACAATAGCATTTAGCCACGCGATTGTACCTGAGCTATCTACTTTTTGCCCCCACCGATCGAGGAAATTGTCGATCTAGTAAGGATCAACTTGTATCAACTGGGACTAGCACCACGGACACGGACCAAAGAGAGAGAGAGAAGATCCTCATGTCTCCATCTTGTGGCTTAATTATCTTTTTTCTTTCGGCGAATATTGCCATTCAACCATGAATCCTGGTTTTTTTTGCGGGTATGATGGGACTATTGTTTTTTTTTTCTGTTTTTTTTTTTAATTTCTTTACTTCATAAGTGAACAACGCACTTGCAGATCTAATGCGAGTGAGCTGTCAAGCCATCCCTCGCTTTTGGGCAATGGTAATCCGTACAGCGCCCTTTATATTCAAGTCCACAGTTCACGGTGAACAAAAAAAAAAGAAGAGCAAAGACTCTGAGTTCCAACGGGTGGCGCCGCGCCCTGACTATCACAGCCGATCTATCGTTTCTGCTAATTTCGTAAATTTAGCGAATATTTGACCAATTTGATCTTTAAGTTTGACCTTTGACCTCTGACCCTTGACCTGACCAATCTCACCATTGTCCTGCAAATGCCTGCAAATGCCTGCAGCTCCAGGCCGTGTTGGCCATGTTAGCCATGTTAGCCATTGTTGATGCCTCGCAAACGACCCTCCTGCAGCGACGTGGTTGGGCCGCTAATTGACAATGTAAGGAGTGCACCTGAGACAACAGCTATCTTAATTTATTCTCGGTCTCTGGTTCAATCAATCAGCGATATTGCAGAATCTCCGCTGGGATCTGCCCCCCTGGCCGATCTGCCTATCGGCTGCCATTTCCAGTTTGGTATGCGGTGTACTCCGTATAACTGTACTCCGTACAATTGTACAATTGTCCCTTCGTATAATTGCACAGTCTTCGCGGGAAACTCGGATGTGATGGAGTGTGACGTGATCAGACTAAAAATTCATGCGCTAGCGTGTTCGCGTTGGCGTTCACATGGCATATGAAGAATTTCAAAATAATAGTCGTTTGATTTGCATATCTTTGCTTTTTCATCCTTGCTTTTTTTCTTATGACTCGGGACTGGAGATGTTGGTTTTATAATTCTGGAGCTCAGAGCTGTCTGCACCCGTAGATAGAACCCTGCACAAGGGGGGATTCCGGGGTAGAGCTATAGTTCTCCAGCATAAGCTCATGAACTTCGCCAAAAATGACTACGGAGTATTCCGTACGGAGTATCCAATTTCATTTTCAGAGAAATCTCAATTAAATCCAAAATCCCTGACTCAACCGAATAATAAATAAAAAAGGATGATGGTAATAGCCAACCTAACTAGTATCTTATGCCCACCATATCACATCTGAAAGCGGTAGCCCCGGAGATCACGTGTGGTTATCAACATCCATCATCGACACGCCAAAACAAATCCCAATTAACCTTGGAATCCATCCTTACTGTACTTGATAATCCATAAATCACACATCCTTCCTCCAACCATGTCCACATTCCTCTCCTCTCTGCGCCCAGCTCTGCGTGTGGCCAACGCCCCCCAGACCGCCCGCGCCTTCAGCTCCTCGCCCGCCCACTCCATCGCCCGCCTGACCCTCACTGGCCGTCTCGGCGGAGATCCCGAGCTCCATGCTACCTCCTCCGGCCAGGAGCTCGTCAAGTACAGCGTTGCTACCACCCACGGCCCCCGCGATAACCGCCAAACGAACTGGTGGCGCGTCACCAACTTCGTCCCCGAGGGCTCCCAGCGCGATTTCGTCCTTGGCTTGCAGAAGGGGTAAGTGGCTGCTCTTCATATTTTGCTAGTTTGTGCGGGACGCAACATTTCTTGCTTGGATTGCGTCTTGTCTGTTGGGTGTGTTTTTTTGCTATATGCCGTTTGGGTCCGACAGGTCTGCGCATGGTCTATGTGGATCGAGAGCTCGAGCTTGCGCTCGCGCTTGAAAGCCGCATGGGGGTCGTGCGGGCCTTTTTCAAACATATGACCTGTGGACTTGGCGGTGAAGCAACGCGCCTGCGGACAGGACATCACTCCTTCAAGTCGTGTTCGTGGTTGAGCAGTAGGGGCTGGATTATGGGACTCTCCTGCTCAATTAGTCCGGTCCATTTGCACTAATGCAGCAACTTGAACTTTATCTTGATGCATATGAGCTAACTTCGTTCCCGCAGAACCCTTGTGTATGTCGAAGGTGATGCCAAGATGGCCACCTGGGAAGATTCCGAGGGCCAGACCCGATCCACTCTGAACATTGTGCAGCGTATGTCGATCATTCTCTTGGATTGCCTTCACTCTCTGGGAACAAGAAAAACTTCAAGGTTCAAGCTAACCCTCGTCTAGGCACTCTCGAGGTCCTCAAGCGACCCGATAACGGCCACTCTGACGAGTCTAACTAAATGCCTTAATCAGGGCTCTGTATCAATCTGAATTTGTTGCTAGTTTCATTTTGGGGCTGGTGGAGTTGAGTGAAACCTCCTTTGCGGTGTGATTATATTGTACGATTATACCCTGAATACACTTCGTTTTGTAGTGGATATATTGATATTGATAACGTGTAGTGTAGTGTATATCCAAGTTTCCTAAACTCGATTTTTACGTTCAAAAAATTGGCTACATAGATTCAACCTATGACTTATCGTGTTATTTGATACAGGCGAAAGCTCAAAAAGTATATGCCAGCCCCGGAGGCTGCCACCAACTACTCGCGGAGTAGCACTACTGCTTCGGCAACTCCTATCTTCCTATAGGTCAAAATTGGAGTACAAGGTTGTTCTCTCGATCACCTAGGTTGAGATAAACCGATTAATAGTTAGCATCCTCCATGTTACTTGTGGTAGCAATCGCAATATATATTAGTCTTACGCATGTAAACTAACAACCATTTACGCAGAAACAGATTCAAACAATTTCATTTTTCATTTTTCATTTTGTACAAAAGCAACCTAGCTCAGTGAATTATTTGTTATGATACTCAAGTAATATTACTCTGATGTACAGCAGAACCCAGACCAACGCAAAGGCAAGATTAAAAAATCGTAACAAGCCATTGCAATCTCATAGAAGAAAGAAGAAGCATCAGACCTGAGCCCTAACCTCACTCTGCTGGCTAATAACCTGCCGCACGTGAATGAAATCCTTATTAAGCTCTGGCGAAGTAGGCTCACTGGACAACTCCCGACTATCACGGTGACTAGCCCAAGCATTAGTGGAAACAGTCTGCAAGGTACCGCCGGGGAGATCATCCAGCAGAGTCCCATCAATATCCTGACGAGTCTGACGTCTGTTAAAGAGAGACCAGGGCAAGCTACTCCATCCTGACTTCTTGGTCGACCTGCCGTCGCTATAACGGGACAAGCGCGAAGATGTACCCTTCTCAAGATCGTTGTATGTGCCATGTGTCGAGACAAAAGTAGCGATGGACTCCTTCTGGCGCGATAACAGCGATTTCGTACGAGATCCGATGCTACCGACGAGGGTAGTTGCTGTTGAGGCATGCCTGGGGGAAGGAGCGGCACTGTGTGTATCTGTTGGTGGCTGTATGCTCGGGAAGCAGTAGCCCAGTCCTAGGTACCAGGAGACTGTGCGGTACATGCGTGTTGCGTCGCGGCCGAACCCGAAGAAGATGAAGATCATGAAGCCTGATGCCACGCAGAGCCAGCGGTCAAAGAACACGGTGCCATCCAGGGGGATCTTTTCGATGGTGTTCCATTTTCCGTTGTGGATTCTGCTCCAGGAGTACTTGTGCCAGGGGAGGGAGAGCACAATGTCGCTGTAGACGAGGTATCCTTGTAGTGGGAGGATACAAACGAGCATTGATAGAGCGAGGAAGAAGAGGCGGAGGAAGCGGGATTTGCTGAGATTGCTGCTGGAGGCGAGGAGAATGTTTGCGAAGTCGCTTCTGTACTTGTGTACGCGGATGAGGACCAGGCCTGGGATATTAAGTTAATGGGGGCTTTTTGGTATGAAGTAAGTTTGATGTATACTTACAGCAATAGTATGCTGCAATGAGGCAGATAATCGGCGACCAGATCCATGCAAAGACGAGACTGACCCAGCTTTCGTCGAAGTTGTTCACACATCCCGAGATGGTAAATAGCATGTATCGGCTCTTCTGCCAGATTATGTGTGTGATCATTGCGGTGATTGGAACAACGATGCAGAACAGAATCTCCATGAACTGATTGCGCCAGCGTTGACCTTTGCTCGGGACTAATGTGGCCCGATCTGTATCCAGTACAATTGCAAGACTTCGAAAGATGCATACTAGGCTTCCTGGGATACCCAGATATCCGGCAGCCATAAACTTGACCTCGATATCGCAGAGACCAGACCCGTCCCACCACGACGCCACATCGTTCGTGGGCCATATGAGAGCATTGATAATGTTGAACAAGTTGAGGAGGATTGACCAGAATATCAGACTGCTCGCAGGGAAATTGCGGTTCTTTCCATGCAAGATTAATGGCGGAATAGCCAGAGCAATGGAGGAAAAAGATAGAACTGGCAGGACCACGGCCTGCGGGTGTCTTTGGTGAATATCCATAACGGCAGTGGATGTAAAATAGAGATTAAAAAAAAGTCGATCACCTGAGCCTCTAGCTCTTCTGCAAATTGATCAAGGAAAAGAAGATGTAGAATGAAAAGAAGAAGAATGGGATGGAACCATCCTCCCTCGATGAAGGTTGTATATCCAGCCAGGGGAGGCAATTGAGCGACGATGTCTTATTGAGATCCGAATAGTGAGAATCAGGAGGTTGATTCACAGCTCAAGACATCATGCCTTGAGTAAAATTGTGTAGTATTCACGAAGAGTGTATGGGCTGCAAAGACACCCGCAGCCGGGGGTACTAGGCCTTGACATGTTTTGCAACAGGCAGATAAACCTATCCATTGGATTAGCTTTGAATTGGACGAAAGAGCTTGCAATAATGAGAATAAAGAAGTTGAAAGAAGTTGAATAAAGAAACATGAGGTCCATAGACTGAGGTGTCGTGGTCGAGCGAATAGTATGAGGCAGCCCAGTCCGGATTTGGGTGTCAATAGACCCGAGGAGGTGGGGGGGCTTTATTCATTTTGATCCGCCTGATATTTTTTGGCGTTGATCTGCGAGGTTAATGATTTATGGATTATTGATCTAGACTGTCTAGTCTTATTCAGATTGACCGGATTGACAAGACTGACAAGATTCTAGATGTGCGAGAGGTGCGAGAGAGTTGATGTATCCAGAGAAGATGATCCTTGACGGCAAACAATACAAATGACGACACTGCAAAGAGAATGTTATGATCTTTCTTTCTCTCTTTCTCTCTCTTTGTGTTATATGTACCTTTAATCTTATAGTATTGTTATTCATATTTGTCTTCAGAACTTTAGTATAACATACTATATACCTAGGTAGGAAATGTCGTTTGTGCCTCAGGCATAAATACGTGGTTTTTGGGTTTAGATCTCTCCTCTCTTCTAGTCTTTTCTTTTCTTTTTTCTAATCATTTCTCGGCTTCTTTATTGCGTAGCTGCCTCAAGAAGAAGTATTCGGGTTATGGAAATGTGCTCGTTAAAACAAGTATATATATATCTAGCCGAACATTTGTTGTAGGAAACCCATAGTTGTAGCGAGATATCACATCAAAATTGATAAAATAAACACCAATAGGGAAACATATAACTGCTACGATAGCAAGTTGATACAACGCTATAAATATGCCTAACGGTTTCCCTAGAATCACCGGCAGATCTTGCCGATGAAATGCATGGCTATCATAGATCACAATCCACCATATACCACAAGGTCTTCGAATGCACCAAGGATGTCTCCCGGGAGGGCGCCTATTGACCGTACTAGTTGCTTCCAACAAATATCCGATCTATCATAACCACCCCTCTCCTCGTCATACAACATTGTATATGAAGTTAGCCTAATTTTTAAAAGTCCTATTTGAGGAAATCATACCCTGTCTGTTAGACTGGGATCACGATTCTTAGAAGGACACCCGACGAATGTCTACAAACAAAATACTTCTAATAGACCGTTATTGCCTTCTATCAGAGAACAAACATAGTATATAGATTCGGAATGACGGGAGAGGCCTCAGGCCAAGGGGCCCCCCACACTAGGGTGGTCAATGCTTAAGGGTACCTGGGGCCCCGGCCCTAGTCTTCGCTTATAAAACATGTTTAATTTTAAAATGTCAGGTACCTAGCTTTCATTACCAAGTCTGCCCTTCGAGTATCTACATGTATTTATATTATATGTGGATATAAATGGCATAGTGGGTTGTATTATAGTGCCGTATATAGTACCTAGGTACCGTGGACAATTACCAGTTTAGGATCTGCGACCCGGCTTGGTCTCATTGCATCATCCGATCTTGGCAATTTACCCCATACTCCGTACAGAGAGACAAACACATTCCTTTTCCTTTCAGAATCAACATGGCTGATTCGCCTATTCAGCGCTCCTTAAGTGCACGTCGCGCCCGTACCTTCGAGGAGAGTCAACGACGGAACTCGACCCTCTCGGACTCGCTTTCAGAGGCTCGCAACTCCATCCGCTCATCAACCGACGACTTGTTTCTACCTCGCGTAGCAAAAGGCCATGATGCAACTCCAGCTGAAGAATCAAATTGGCATTCTGCACCCCTAGGGTTGGCCCTGCTGCCTGCAATTGCGGGCATTTTCTTCCATGAAGGTAGTTCATTCGTCACCGACGTCACATTACTAGTCTTGGCCGCTATATTCCTCAACTGGTCTGTCCGGTTGCCTTGGTATATCTCCCTATATTATTGCCCCTACAATCTCCCCCAAAGGACTAATACTAATCTAAATAACAGGGATTGGTACCGCTCAGCCCAGGCCATCCGACGAGAAGAAACTGGATTCCCAGCGCGCGACGATCCCCAATTCGAGCCTGACGATGACCACGAACCCCAACAGAAAGAAGCAGCAACAGCCATCTCCGAGCTCCAAATTCACGAACTCGCCGCCCTAGCAGCCTGCTTCATATTCCCCATAGTCGGCACCTGTCTCCTCCACGCCATCCGCTCCAGCCTCTCCCGACCCTCCGAGGGCCTAGTATCGAACTACAACCTAACAATCTTCCTCCTAGCCTCCGAAGTCCGCCCAGTCGCCCACCTCCTAAGACTAATCCAAAAACGAACCTTACACCTCCAACGCATCGTATCATCCTCAACAGACCCAATAATCACCCCAACAACCCTGCAAGATCTAATAAAGCGCCTCGAAGAACTCGAAGCCCACGTCGCAGAGACAGCAACCGCCCGTCTCGCAACCCAATCAACCAATAAAGACCCCCACCTCCTCTCCCAAAAAGAACAAGACCAAAAACAACCCGAGGCATCCCCATCCCTCGTCACCAGCGCAGCCCTCGAAACGCGCAAAGCTATCCAGCCTGATATCGAAGCCCTTAATCGCGCCGTCAGGCGCTACGAGAAACGATCCGCCCTCTTCACTCTGCAGACTGATCAGCGCTTCGTGCGTCTCGAGACTCAGGCTGGTGACGCGCTTGCGCTGGCTGCTGCTGCGAAGCGGTCGGCGGAGTCCCGGCGTCCGAACTACGCGCTTGTCCTGCTGGACTGGGCTTGTGCGTGCGTCGTTGTCCCTGCGCAGATTGTGCTGTCGGTTGGTAGTTTGCCTGGGCGCGCCGTTGCGGGGTGTTGGGATGCTGTGAAGCGTATGCTTCCCGGGTGGAAGGTTGTGCCGCACCAGAGATTGAAGTCTAAGTCTGGGTCGAAGGGGAAGGTTGTAGCTGGGCCTGGGGGTCGAGCTGAAGGGGCGGGATCGTCGAGCATGTATCGGCAGAGTGGTGGGCTGGCGCCGCAGCGGCGGTCTGGGGTGAGGAATGGGGATGGGGTGTGATGAGGATATGCATGGAGTTTTTTTCTGGTTTTATTGTTGGCTGAAGATCTTGGGTGGGCCGTGAGCTATTGGTAAAATAGTCATTGGGTAAGGCTGAAGGATCAGTCCACGGGCATACTGGGGTTTATGTATGGGCTTTGTGATCTATCGTAAGTCACTCACTGTAGGATGGGAATATGTATCGACCTTAGTTAAGATACAAGGTTGCTCAACCTGTATCATTAATCTTTATAGGCGAGGAAACGTGAAGATATAGCATTTGTACAGAATTATACACATCAAGACAGCGTGATGCAATCGAACAACTTCAAAAGTCAAGTCTATAGGAATCAAAAACATGACCGGATTTCTAATGAATCTCAGAATAACCGTAGCCAGACCACGAGCCATAGACAACCCTCTCGGCTGTATCAGAAATCAAAATCAAGGCCGACCCCCAGATGGACCTCGATCATCAACTGCAACCATCTTTAAGAATGGCTCAACGATTGATCGCCTCCGCTCTTCAGATATACGACGCTCTTTCTCTTTGGGCGGTAGTGGAGCAGAGGCAGAAATAAGCACGGGTGAAAAGATGGATGCTAAAGCAGTCTCGACTGCTTGCCGGCGTGCTATGGAAGGGTTCTGACTGGTGTAGTCAGGGCTGGTGCCAGCGGATGTGCTCGTGGAGCGATTCTTGCGGCGGAAACTGCCGCTGGTTATGAAGGCAGTGGCGGAAGCAGGAGTAGGAGATTGAGTTTGATCCTGGGTTGTAGTTTCAGCCTGCTTATCTACCGGCTCTTTGTCGACAATGTGCTTTCCTTGTTTGGATAATGGGAGCAACGGTGTACCGGACGATACCGGAGCTACTTCATTGGCGATGCGGGCGAGCATAAAAGTGACAAACGTGAATGACACGCTGTGTGCTGGTGAGTAGGCCAGATGCTCAAGCACCCAGGCCTGGGTTTCTTCCCAGTTTCGGGGAGGGGATTTGCTTTTCTCGCGCGCGACTATCTGCTGCTCCATGTCTTGCCACACTTTCGCGGTGACGATGCCATCTTGGAGTGCGTTGAGGAAAGTGAGGAGGGTTTCAGATAGGACCTCCAACCGATGGAGAGAGGATAACTCAGGAGCAAATATCGAGGTGAGGGACTTGTTTGTGTCGAGGGCTTCACGCACAGTAGTTTGCAGCGCGGCACGCTTCTGTGGGTCCTTTAGAGTCCATGTATCAGGCTGGAATGGCCATGCTCCCCCGGAGAGATCCGTTGTCCATGGAGCTTTATGTTCCTCGGATTCACCATTTGTCATGCTCCACTCTGCGACAGCACGCTCTGTTAGCTCGGAGATCGCCTCAGTCAAACGGAAAAGTTCGCGGGGTGCCGACAAGCGGATTGCCTTGGAACCATCTGTGCTGGATGGATGAGGGGTGTCGGATTCGGCCAAACTTCGAGCACCCGCTTCTGGCATGCGAGTCAACTCGTCGACACTGCAACCGAAGCAGGTGGGTAACCAACGCCCGTGAACAGAGATAAAGTGGTCGCGACCGCCATCGACATGAAGGACTATGATTTCTTCTAGTTTGACCTTTCCAATATTAAGCAACCGGACGTGTTCAATGCTGCGAACGTAAGCCGTGACATCAACATTTGCTACTTCCCCAGGGAGCAGAGTGTGGCTCTCAGACGAAGTAGTCATCGCTTGGCCAGTGTCATGGGCGATGTCTGCAGACTTGCAGACGTGCATAACAAGCCATGAGGGTGGTTGTGCAATGGCCTTGTCGTCAACATTAGGCCGTTCCGCAAATGAAAAAGTAGCTGCGGTGCCACTGGTGTTGGCAATGGTTAAGGACCGATGAGCTGGCACATCGAAGGCAATATCGCCAAAATCGACGGTGTCAGGATCTTTATCTAAGTGTTTTTGGTCGCCATATTTATCCACCACAATGGTAAGATCCGGCCGAGCTTCGTTCTCGGCCTTGTCCAATTCACGGGCCACTTCTTGATGAACCTTTGTTTTGAGTTCGCGATTGACTGCATCAAAACTCAAGGTAAAGACAGAATCCAGAGGCTTGTGGTCCGACGAAAGAATGCCTTGGTGTGACACATAACGGTCCAAGCGGATTGGATCATGGGAAGAGTCAAGCGATGCAACTGTGATTGCATCATCATCATCATCATCAGCGGCTTGATCCTCGTCTGATATGTACTCCTCGCTGTTTACACCGTCTGCATCGGGGTCATATTCAAACAAGACGTTATCATCGGCAACAGCCTTGTCCAGTCCGCTAGCCCTCATCTCCTCGTCCCTCTTTCGGGCCTCCTCCGCTTCCTGGTCGAGCTTCTCATGTCTCAGCTTATCCTGGTGACTGCGAAACAGAATTCGATCACACCAGCTAGGACCCCGCTGCTTCTCGCTCGAATCAAACATGGCCACACTCCCAACATCGTATTTGTACGTCGGTAAGAAAGTGATGTCGCCTTCCCGCCAACCCTTGTGAAAAGCTACTCCTTTTCTCTGCTGGAGTCTGAGTTGATCATGCGGGAGGAGTGAGGAAATTGTCGTTTGAAGAGACGCAGGGTCGTTATGAGGATCAATCTCATCGTCAGTCACAGGGTCGGTAACTAGCTCCGTCTCCTCTTCTTCAGAGGGGGAAGAAGAAGGCGACTCATCATCAGAATCGGCCTCGGAGTTCCCAGAACCGCTTGACGACTGCTTTGCTTGGCGCCTTTTGTCGTACTCATTGTTAGTATGCCGAGTGAGGACTTGGCGCACGTCGTCACCGGAGATATCATCGAGGCGGTAGTTGAGGTCACCAAACCAGAACGTGAAATCTTCATCTCCAATTGTTTCGCCCGAATCACCCGATGATTCATCTTCGGACCAAACTGCGTCGAATCTAGCACGCTGGACAATCTGAGATGAGTCCCAGTTGCGCCGCTCCAAGCTGCCTTTATCTGACCCTGCTGCGAGATGACAGTTGATAAAGACCAAACGGGTCGTTTCGCCCAAGACAAGACGCGTTGCTACGGCGCCCTTGTTTCCCATGTATCCCATCAGCCCCGTGCCGACAGAGGTACTACTGATAGAAGAAATACTGTTTCCAATGGCGGGCGACGCATATATCAGAAGCAACAAGCCGACCAACTGGACTTCGGAGACTAACTGATATCCTTCAGGTAGCGCCTTTTCGACTGCTTCCTTCCAACGCTTGGACGGTGCCAGGTCGACATATGGTCTGAGCGCTTCCGTTGGGGAAGAGATGTCGACCACTTCTTGCAAACCCAAGACGTACAGGTCTATCTCTTCGGGACTGTAGTGAAATGTTCCTTGTTTGTCGCCGTCTGATTTCTGCTGATCATGCTTGTTGGGCGAAGGGGATTCTGGCTCCCGTGCGTAGTTTGTCCCAGAGAACTTCGGGCACACCCCGTCTCCTTGAACAAACCACTTTCCAACATCTTTCTCGGTGCCGGAGATGCCGGCTACATTCCACGTACCGACCTTGACTCGGATAGATCGTCGGCGCGTGTACTCGGCTTTTCTTGCTCTGACCGCACGCGAAAGTGACAAAACGTCGAGTCCTGGGTTCTTAATCTCTTCCGCGTATTCCGACTCGTGGCCCTTGTGATCCGACCCGGCCGGCGATTGAGATTTAGTGCTCATGGTATATGAAGATGTAATAGAATCGGTGAATAAGAAAGCTTCTTCTCTTTGCTTGGGTTATGGTTCGAGGTTCGGTGGGGTAGCAATATGTAGCGTGGTGTATGTATGAGTGTGTGCGCTTGCACGGTTCTTAATTCCGGCTAGGGAAAATAGGCTGTGAGGGTTGTCGCAGTAGAAAAATGAGACGATGACGATTATCATAGGATAAATAGAAAGAATTGAGAGAATCACTTGTATAATGCGACAATGGCTCAGTCATTTCATCAGAGGTTCATCCCACCAAGGTTGAGAAAGGTCGTACAGTCATCACGTAGAATATAGTGAACAAGAAATATGTTGTTGAGACCAATCGGAAAGGAATCAGATATATGCCAGTATCCCAATATCCTACATGAGGGTTAAAAGAGAAGAGGTTCGAGAGTAGAAAGTAGAAAGTAGAGAGAAGCCGGATAAGCGCGAAGGCGGAGCTGCAATGACGATATGGCCCAGCTCCTTCCCATCTTTCACACTTTCCAGTTTCCACAGAAAACATGACTTCACGCAAACCTCGACGACAGAACAATCACAATCCTGTCAACCTCACCGATTATGAATCTGACGCTCCATACTATTCCGACATGCAGCAACAACCTGCACCCCCGCTCCGCTCGAACGAGGAGCTCAACCTCTCCGTTATCCGCCGCCACAAGCCCTCAGTGACCTCCATTCTCTCACTCGCCCCCTACGCAGTGGTCTACATCTTCAGCCCCACCACAAAACAATGGGAAAAGAACGGAGTGGAAGGAACCCTGTTTGTGTGCCAGGAAACACAAGGTGACCTAGGCGAAGAGCGCTACACTGCCTTCGTGCTAAACCGCCGCGGGTTGAACAACTTTGATCTCCCCCTCACCGACGGCGAGAATGTCGAAATTACAGAGGAATATGTGATCCTCAAAGCCGAAGAAAGTGCCGAAGGCGAAGCCGGACAGAATGGCATCGCCGACCCCTTGCACCCGCAAAATGTGCCCAACAACCAGACCGGCACGAAGAACGTGCGCATCTACGGTCTCTGGATCTACTCAGAGCCACCGCCAAACTCCACCGCGGAGAGTCGCATCATAAACGCCCAGATGATTCTCGAGTGCGCTACCCACGCCGGGGAGAGCTCGAAGCTAGCTCGCGAGCGCCTTGAGGCTATGCGCCAGACCAGCTTGCACGCCGCCGCCGCCGCGGCCTCCATACAGGCTGCCCCGATGGAGGAAATACAGGCCGGCGTGCCTATGGGACGTCAGATTTCCCTGAAGGATCTGTTTGGTCAGCAGCGTGCCCAGGACGACGCTTGGAGTGTGCGAGCCCATCATCTGGGCCCTGAGCAGCAGCCTAACTATCAACACATGATGCTTCCTCAAATGCCGCCTCCTACTCCCCCGCCGCAGCCGCAATCCGATGTGCTAGGAGATCTATTCCGGAGGGCAGGACTAGCTCAACAGGGTAATGGGCAGGGGCATTAGAGGAGTGCTGAATAGTTCCTTCGGGGCCCTCAATCATTTGTACATGGCGTCTAGCTTTATGATTTCTTCCTGCATATTTGAATAGCTTTGGGCTTTTTGTCATTCGGATGGGAATGGGCGTGGCGTAGCGTCTCTTGAGATACCCGTTACAATCTGCGTCAATGGCGAAATTCATTGTCTTTATGTAGTTCTTGTCTATTTCTATCCATTGTAAAAGTAATAGCCCCTCCCTTAGATAACAATTTGCCTAATCATCCCCGCAACTTTTTGCGCCATCACATCACTGTGTTCTACACACTGTCAGCAAGGTTACGTATCATAATCAAAGTCGATAAAAGACCACTTACTCAAACAAAAGGCATGTGGCAAACCCTCCTCACAAACAACCATAGTCGGCCCAGCCTGTCCTCCCTTCTGCCCACGCACCGCAACAATATCATCCCTGGTCTGATCAGCTACCCAATGATCATTACGACCAAAGTAGAAAAACAGCTTAGCGATAGGCTCACGTGCCGACGCAGCGCCCCAAACATCATCACTCCATTTGTCCGAAGTGATAGTCCGCATTTCATCGGCAGCCATATGTCTAGCCACCAGGCGAAGAAAGAGATAGTTAGATAAACCCAACCCACAACCAAAAAAAAGAAGTATCACACATACAAAGCTTGCCGTACCCCACCCCGACTCTTCAAAAAAGCACACGTAGCGTCCAATGCATGAACGGGGGGATCACCCATGACCAGCCGAACGACAGATCGAAGAAACGATGTCGGAAGTAGGAATGTAAGTAGTCTTGCGAAGAAACTAACCACCACAGCAAGACGGGGAATGATCGAAAGTAGAGTCTACAGTCGAGTCGAGATTAGCCATGAAACCAAAGAAAACACAGGCATCCGGCAAGAGCTATATGGTATGTACCGTCAATTTCTGTCCTGAAGGCGACGCGGCGATATCCTTGACAGTCGGGAAGAGCATCGCTCCGCCGACGATATCGAAGGTACTTGCGGGACTCGCTTCGCGGTGTCGTCTGAGGATTTCCATGGCGATATATGCGCCAACGGAGTGTCCGATCAGGATGACTTTTTTTCTGGTTCCGGCATCCACGGTATTTTTACTTTCAGCGTTACCGTTGCCATCATCTCCCATCAGGGTAGCGAGCTTTCCCTGAGCAAAGCAGATCTGATCTTCCAGGCTGAGATCAATGACGTTGTTCGGTGACGCTGAGGGCTGCTCGTTGATTTCAAAGCCACCAAGAGAACAACCGTAGATTTGAAATGATGATCGGCTTGTTGAATGTTCCTCTCTTGGCTCGTCTAGATACCTCGCGAGTAGAGAGAGGAATGGGTGGTAGTAGCCGATCAGACCCGGGTTGCCGGAGATGAAGAAGACTGTCGTCTTTTGGTCTGATGGAGAACCTGTGGTGGTTAGAAAGCTATTTGGCGTAATTTCGGATGCCATTTTTTGTTCGGCTTGTATCATTTGATCTGCTGTAGGGCTCTCATGTAGATTTCATCCAGGGTATAGATGGCTGCTGGCTTGTTGGATTGTCTGGACTTGGTTAGTGGTTATCCAGGTAGAGATAAGACGATTGAAGGGAAATAGTTACACGAATCGTACCGTTTGTTATGTATTTTTCGCGTATATGATTACTTTGGGGTGGTTGAATGAATTGCCTGGGATTGATAGGGAGGTGAAGTCGGATTTGGCTGGTGGATCCAAGCACTCTACGCCTAAAGCTACCCATGCTAACCCCGAAGCCACCCAAAAATATGAGAGTTTATTAAAAAAAGGCCCAAGAAAAAAGAAAAGAAACACAGGGAGATACTGCTGGGCTGTATAGGTATTTTGATATGTGGCAGGGCAGATACTGTGCAGGCCGTACGTAGAACACTACAGATAACCCCAACAGGAAAAAAACACCATGAAGATAGCAGGATATATTGCAACGACTCCGTCCGCGGATGCATAGCTCCTCGACTGACCGGCATCTAAGCCCGACCAGGAAAATAAAAAGAATAGACTCCGCAAGGCTAGATCCAATGCATTGCCCAGACGCCATGCCATGTACATCAACATTCAACTAGACGCTAGTTCAGGCCAGAGAACACAAAACCTCATAAAACCAGGTTGGAAACAGGTGAGGAGTACCCTTGAAAAAAGGAAGAGAACAAGAAGAAAGGGCGTCGCCCAAAAAGCAGCAAGAGATGAAATATGGGAAATCCCGCAATCGAGTCTGGTATCTCGGTCATGGAAAAGAAAACATGATTCAAGAAAAAAGCCTGGTTTATGAGGCATAATCATCCACCCTCGTTACCTTGACTGTCGTCGCGATTCTCCTTCTCGTAACTCTCGCTCGTCACCTCCGTGCGAATCGTGTCGGTTTCTGAAATGGGCGGTTTGGCCGTTGATCCAATGTTGATGGCGATTCTCTTAGGCGCGGCGCTGGTGACCCTGTTTAATACACCCGGTGAGGCATTCTTATCTGCCAGTGAGCCGGCAGACAAGCTCTTTTTCCGATTCATGATAAAAGCACTAGAATTGCTACTAGTTGAACTTCTTCGTTTGGGTCCCGCAGTAAGCTTGCTAAGCTCGTCATCGTCTTCTTCCTCGCGGCGACGTTTCTCTGCAAGTCGCTCCGGGGGGGTTTGGGTGGGTGGTGATGATGATGCAGGAACCTCGGTGGAAGTCTCGGTTGGGCTGCCGACTGGCTGTTGTTCTGCCCCTTCGGGTTTGGTGTCCATGATGTCCTCGTCGTCGTCATCTGGGTAGTCAACCAATGGTTTGACAACCGCAGAGACGGCTTCGCTTGAAGGTTCATCCGTAGTAGCCACACGGTCCTGTGTCCACTTTATCTTAATTGGTCAGTCGTTTGCTCAAACAGTCTCAATCCAAAAGGTACCTACCTCATCTTCGTCGTCGGACGTGTTGAAATAATCCTCTTCTGCGGGGTCCATCTCCCTTGCACCCTGCCAGCGCTGGCCACTGAGGGGAATTCTCCGCGGGGCGGTACTGTCATCCTGACTGAATAGTGTCGCGTCGGCCTCCGCTCCGTATCCCTGCATCTGGTCATATCGAAGAATCAGACTCTGGAAGGTATCAACATAAATGATGTTCTCGAGCTTCTCGCGATATTTTTCAACCACATGGAGGATGAAAGGCTTGATGTTTTCCCGCTTGATAAACTCAAAAAGTTCAAGACAGGCCGAGTTGAGCAGGTTGTCGCGAGGCATTGTCTCGTAGACGATGTCGAGAATCAACTCAAAAGTGTTATTGTGTGTCATGAGAGCTTGGTAGAAGGTATCTTGGAGGCTAATCAAGGTGCGGAAGAATTTGAGCGCGACTGTCGTCGGTATTAGCTATAGCTTCTAGGCTAAAAGAAAGGCTAGAAACTTACCTAGTTTGAGGTGTTTCTGGGGTACCCGCAGAAGCTGTGCAACACGAGGCGCGAGAGATTCACTCTGGATAGAGTTACGTGTGCGGAAGAGGTGCTGGCGGACGAAGAAGGTGAGGATATCAACAAGATGCGAGTAGAGAGTGACCTCTTGGAATGTCAAATCATTAACTAGACTCATAGTTAGTAAGATCTTGATCAAAAACAAATCATTTCACCACTTACGGGTGGTGCGATTTGCAAGCTGTTTAAGCGGTTGGAAAAGTCGTTTTGAAGACTCATCGAAATGTTGCTGGACAAATGCATCAGAGAGAAGGTTGGTGCGAACTTTGAAGTAATCGGGTCCAGCCCGACCAAGCGGGTCCTGCATAGGAATCTGAGGATCAAGGAGAACCTTGATAGCATCAGCAATTTGGTTTTTGACACCAAGGTCGGTCTCCACATGAAGAAGATCGATCAAGGTATCTGTGAGTGGTGTCTTTTTCTCGTTGACAGCCTTAAGCATATAACCTCTCATCATGACTGGGTCGTGATCCAACAGAGCCACTAAGATATCAATGCCAGTCGTGCGCATGGCTGGATTCAAATGCTTGACGGCAAATGCTATCACAGCAAACAAGCCATGGCTAATAAAATTGGCGAATAATTGAGCCCGCGACGGTGCCTGCAAGTTCTTCGCAATGCCAGCACACTGGTGAAGAAACTGCACGGCATCATCCTTGCGTCTCTGGTCTGGATTTCTTGGGTCGAAAACGTGGAATAAGTCTCGGAGGAAGGGCCCATTTGCTTGGATATGATTCACAATCTCCATTTGATTGAAGAATATGAGAGAATTGAGCACCGAAAATGTCGGGTCGTCCAGAATCCGAGCCAGAACCACATCTTTCAGATATTGCAGTCTCCATGTACTCCGAATCTTGCGGCGAATGAGCGGGTCCTTGATCGGGACGACTTCCTTGTATCGTGATTTGTCTGCGAGGTATTGTCGGTGGTTTGCCTTATGTGTGGGGAATTCAGGGTCATCTGTTTTCGTCAGTATCCAAAAGCATTGGGGCTTCGGGACAGGGTGAAGCTGGGTAGAGCATACATTCTAGAGCCCCAACCACTCCAAGGATGACATGATCGGCGACGACGGTTTCGATGATGGTGTTGTCATTGAGCAAAATGAGAGATTTCATGATGTTGCACAAACGATGCAAATCGATCAAGCTCTCCAAATCCTCAGCCATTGTCACTAGCGGTACCAATTTGGCGATGTACTCGTCGCGAATGATGTACTTGGATAGCGCATCTCGACCGCCTTGTGTCATGCTCGCAGCTCGTACAATCTGTTCGATTTCGGGGAGGTTTCCAAGTTCGGGGGCCGGTAATACGATGGATTGATAGCTATCGAGGTCGTCGGACAGGGCGTCATCTTGGAAAATAATTAGAGCTGCCAGCTTCCAAACACGCGACAAACCTTACCAGCTGAAGTGAGACTCAAGAGATGTTGTTGGACAGCATTGACAAAGTCCCTTTGATGGGGTTAGTTCATGCGCGCAAAGATTTTTGTTGATTCCTCACCAAATGACTGCACAACCTTCCGCCTCTTGGAAACTCAGTGCCATATCCGTGCCATTTTGCTCCGTCCAAACTATCAAGGTCTCTGAATCGCGTGATACAGTTAGTAAAAAAAAGGACACTAAACAGCGATGGGACGATAATGGCGGGATAGGTACCCTGTTGTTTTTGGTAGCCATCATCCTTGGTGATTCGCGTTTCGAGTAGGACGCGATTGGGTAGGTCTTCGGATTCGACAAATATGCGAGGCTCCTCCTAGTCCAAAGCTATCAGTTACTGATGATGGTGGTGATGCGCTCGGGATTGCGCGCGATGAAACATCGTCGCACGACCCCCAGTGCGCGCACAACACGCGACAACTTACTCCTAAGATCTGACCTGTGCAGAAGCCAGTTCCTCGGTCAAACCAATCATTATCTTTCAGTTCATAAACCTTCACTCGTTTGCGACCGTCGGGCGGTTGTACTTCCAGCGCCATGATCCGGCAGGAACAGGGAAAGGCGTCTCGTCACTCCGGGCCTGATAAAAGTGCACCGGCGCGAGAGGAGAGCCAAAGGGCGGTGGGGGGGAAAAAAGGAATGAACTTTAAACAAGGTTATCGGAAGATTGTGTAGGGGTTTGTTTGGAAAGGGTTTGAAAGGGACGCAAAGAGGGAATGGAGGTGGAGATCCCAATGATGAAAGAGTCTGCGGAGGGGATGACGATCGGGAACAGTCCTGGTCCACCTGACGGCCTCGGCAGGTACTTGGAACTTTTGGACTTTTTTCCCTTTTTTCCCCTTTTAAAGATCTCGGGAGTTTAATAAGAAGCTTCTTTGGAGGATAATGAAGAGAAAGTGGGAACTTTTAGATCTTCTAGAATTCCCTAAGATCCCTGTTCGTCCCTATTTCATCTTTATCTCTACCTAAGGTACCTAAAGTACGGAGTACGGAGAACCTAGGCACCTATTAACAACTTAAGACTATATATGTTTTAGGTACCTAGGACTACCTATGTAGGTACCTAGTATATTGTTCATAACGCAGAAATATGCTATCTTACTAGGAATGCAGCTTATGCTAAAATCTAGATCACTTTATCTTCGTCGTTCTAGTGTTCTTCCATGATCGGCAGAGCTGGGGAATTCACTCTTCAAATGTTCTTCCTCTCAGGGGTCTCGGAATGGCGTCAGTCAATATATCATAAAGTATTTATAACAGCTGAATGTGACTTGTGTGTACAACCATGAATGTAATATAATTTAAGATTCATCTATCAATCTATAAATCTATAAATATTCTCTGCAAGGTGAACTCAACGCATGGATCTCCACATAATTACAAGCTCTGGAGGGGTACACGGGAAGTACTTCCCGTCAAGCTGGCATCTAGCCTTTGTCGTGAAGTATCCGCCAAGTACCAGCCGCCTTGGCTCAAGCTGCTGACATAAGAGACCAGATGGACGGCCCTGTCCGCAGCACAGACCCTCACCGCCCCCACTATCCCCTCGCTGATTGGCTGTGTATCATAACGTGGGAAGTTTCTTATCGAATATGGCCCAATTAGGAAAGGTTCCAGACGCTTTTTCTCTTGGTCTTCTGGTTACTTTTGAGAATTTTGCTTCTTCATCAGATTCATCGCCAAACGGTATATCGATATACGAGCGACTTAGGGAGTTTTGCGCTCGTTTCAGTTTCATAAAGCTCCCTGTTGTATTGCTTCTATTGCTTTAATTTGCAACTGGTTTGCCACTTGCATAATTTAAATACAACCCCGCTTTCTGAGCTTGCATCTGTTGACCATGTCTGAGTCGAAGGACCAAATCACCGTCCAGGCATCTGGTGTAGACCATGATCTCTCTACTCCTTCACTGGCCAAAGATGCCCAAGGAGCACAGAGTTCGAGTTCCCAGGCGGAAACCTCCGAGCACCCTGTGCAACCTGCGGACCTGGTTGACCAGAAGAAAGGGTCCTTTGGCTATTTCAGGACTAAAGAGTTCTACATCACTGTGGCTCTAGGGTAAGTTGTACCTTCAAAACTACAGATCAAACCTCAAACCCTAACTCAATTGCTCGCAGTCAAATTCTCGCCATTGCCAATACCTCGACGGGTACCTTCACAACGCTACTCGGCGAGGAAAAGTGGGCAATCCCTGCGTTCCAGACCTTCCTGAATTATGTGCTACTCAACGCCATTTTTACTCCTTATACGATGTACCGTTACGGCTTCAAGGGCTGGCTCCGACTGGTATACCGTGACGGCTGGAAATGTATGTCCCCAATTTCCTCTCCCACAGATCAAATATATAACCCCGACTAACCGCTGCAGACATCATCCTTGCTTTTTGTGACGTGGAAGGCAACTACTTCATTGTGCTGGCATATCAATACACAACCATGCTAAGCGCGCAACTGATCAACTTCTGGGCCATCGTCGTGGTCGTCATCCTCTCATTCCTCTTCCTGGGCGTGCGCTACCACATCACACAAATAATCGGAATTATGATCTGCATTGGCGGCATGGGCATCCTCATTGGCTCGGATCACATCACCGGCACGAATGGCGGAGACGTTTCCCAAGGCAACCAGCTCAAGGGTGACCTGTTCGCACTGCTAGGCGCATCCTTCTATGGTCTCACCAACACGGGAGAAGAGTACTTTGTCAGTACTCGACCCGTGTACGAGGTGCTCGGTCAGATGTCATTCTTCGGAATGATAATCAACGGCGCGCAGGCTGGTATCTTCGACCGGACCTCCTTCCACAATGCACACTGGAACGGAAAGGTCGGCGGGTATCTCACCGGTTACACGCTGTGTCTGAGTTTGTTCTACTGTCTTGCTCCGCTGTTGTTCCGTCTTTCCTCGGCGGCTTTCTTCAACGTCTCCATGCTCACCATGAACTTCTGGGGTGTGATCATTGGCGTCAAGGTCTTCCATTATCACATCCATTGGATGTACCCCATTGCCTTTGTTTTGATCATTGTCGGTCAGCTCATCTACTTCCTTGCCCAGAAAGTCTTGAGTGAAGCCCGCAAGCCCTGGCTTGGGACTAACCAGGAGCGTGGTGTTGTTGGTCTTTTCACTGCGAAGAGGAAGATCGTGCATACCGTCCCTGATGCTGCGGGATATCATGATCAAACCGCCGAGCACATCCCTGAGCACACTCCCACGGTGAATACCAGCTCTGTCTGATTGTTCACCTTGGTGAATCGACTCGTTGCTTTCTCCTTTTAATATATTTTTGGGGGGATTATGGATGTGACCACACATATAAGAGAATCTTTCGGATTCTATTTTGTGTGTTGCGTTAGATGCCCGTCAAGTCCGTCTCGCCGCCACCCCTGCTACTGAGCAGTACGCGGGTGGGTTCGATACTGGACGGGGGACAAAAAAAAAGACGATCTTGCATGCTTTCAATTAATGCTTAATTATTTTCAGACGATTGCTACTTCAGTATTATTAAGATTAAATCAATACAGCCTATCAACTATTGTGTGAGTATCGAAGTATGTATCTCCTCGGCATACTCCAGAAGCAACATTGAAACCCCTGGTATTAGAATTGAGTTAGAATAGAAAGATGGTTTTATATCAGTCTCGGAACGTAGTTAAACTCACCGAGCAGGTATCAGAACACAACTTGCATAAAAGATGAGAAGCCCAAAATAGAAGAGATGACTATCGTGTCGCGAAGTAAGAAGGCACGTTATACTGCATACTAATACCTTCGTAGGACAAGACAACAAATGAGAACTCAATAGGTATATAAGGACACGACATTCCGTTCTCTGATATTGTCCATAGCAAAGAATCCCGTCAATATATAGCCTTGGAAGTAAACAAACCCCAGCAACCCTTACACCAGCTGCATTATAGTCATATCCCACCCTGAAAGAACAAGGGAAGAAAAAGAGAGAAAAACAATTATAAGTCGAATATCCGAATCCAAGAAACATTCCGTTTTGAGCCTCTGTTCGCCTCCCCATCTCCATATGGAGATATATAGTAAAAAAACAGGGATCCAAAATTAAATAAAAGTCACAATGTGCAAGTTTCCCGTACCACCACCCCCCAAAAGATGAAAAAGATGAAAAAAAAAGACCTGTGCATCCGACATGAAAAACACCGAGAAAAATGAGACAGCCCATACATAGCCCACGAGCATCACAGATAAAGCGCCATATTTCCGACCATATTCGCACGGGCACCGGAATAGCAAAACCAAACCAAAAAAAGCAGAACAACAAATAACATGCTGAACCTAAGACCCAACGGGGAAAGACGAATAAGGCATCATACCATCCAGACAGATCAAACACCAATTTGAGGGAATATTTCCAAACCCCAGTAAACCCCGTCCTTTGCCCCCCGCCTAGTAGTAGGCCAGCTCAACCCCAAGTCCAATATGCAACAAGCGCCTACTTGGAGTAATGCCATCAAAAAAGTAATGCCATAAAAAAAAACCAGAAATTCAGGGTTGCTTATCCCCAAACAGAAGCTTGCACGCCGAGACCGCTCTTGGAGCTCCAGACGCCACTGCCGTTGCTCCAGCCGAGGCCGACACCACCAGCTTGGTCCTTAGCGCCAGGGGCACCAGCTGCAGAGGTCACAGCCGGGGTAGGACCAGCTGAGGAGGTACGCTCAGTGGCGGGGCCAGCAGCGGGGTCAGCGGGGGTGAAACCTAGCCCGAGCGGGGAGGGGAGGGGAGTGATAGAGCGCTTATTCAAGGCCTGGTTGGCAGGGGGCGCAGATGTCGGGCCGGGGGCGGGACGGGAACCGATGGGACCAACGGAGCCGATAGGACCAGCGACGGGCTTGGAAGCGGCCTGGCGGGATGAGGGCGAGTCAGCACCGGGCGACGAGGTCGAGGTTACAGGCTGCTCGGCGCCGAAGCTGGCGTTGATGGCAGAGCTAGGCGAGGAGGTGCTGTTGGCGCGCGAGGGCGACTGCATGCCCGTGGCATCGGTGCTAGTGGCGCCAGCCTGGGTCAGGCCGAATGGGTCCATGCCTCGTGGGGAGGATCCACGGACACCGGACGATGGGGTGCCACCGCCGGCTTGGCTATCTGGGCGTGGGTTATCATCGGAGAAGGCACCGGGTGGGAAAAAGGCTGGGCTTTCGTTGCCGTACAGGGCGCGGTGCTGGCGGGCGAGGAGTTCGCGACGGCTGTCCTCGCTCACGGCAGCTGGGCTGGTGGAGCGGTCGGATTTGGATGCAGACATCTCGGCGAGGAGGCCTTGAAAGGAAGAAGAAAAGTATTAAAACCCCGTGTTCAAAGAAAAACGAAAAAGCCAAACCAAATATATTACACAGGCCGACGGATACATAGATGCAAGGAAGTGGAAAGAAAAAAGGAAAGAAAAAGCCGACTGGGGAATATAACGAGGCTCAAAAAGAAGAAGAAGACAAGACGCTACCACGTACTTCGGTTGTACTGCTGCTCCTGGTGATAGTTGCGGAGTTCCCTCTCACGCTGTGCTGCCATCCGACGTTTCGCCTGCA